TGACCATGAGGTTCCTGTGAAATGTCTAGTTTTAGCCATAACAATTAACCCGGGAGGGCAGTCCGTCACCACAGTCCCACTAAAATCAAGCAGCAAACCGTATTAATCTCGTGAATCAAACCCTGCTTGATAACTCTATAAGAGTCAATGATGACTTTAAACGGGTACGACTTAGTAGTATACCACCAGCTCGGGTTGTGAAAACTTGGGTTTAACCGGTTGGCACTTGTCCATTTTCAAATCGATGAATCACTGAAAACCAATTCAATACACAACATTTTTCTATTTCTCACATTCAATTCAAGCTCAACCTCGAGTAAAAGTTTTGAACGAACTATAAATTTTTGATGATGAACATTGAACAACAGGCAGGCCACGAATTTGCCTGGGAAGGAATTTGCATATAGGCAGATGAAGATCTTCTCAGCAGTTTTGTTGCATTTCTTTGTGTTCAAATTGGGTGATGATCAGAAAATTGTCAATTATAGGACTATGATCAATCTTCACATCGATGGCGGACTCCATGTTCGTGCCTTCCACAGAGGCGGCCACTAGAACTCAACAGGTGTATTTGTTTTGAGGATAAGAAGAGTATTACGAGGTGGAATAGAGTAAAACAATACTTGGGTCTCATTTATTATCTTGTTTGTTGTGTCTTTGTTGGCTTGGTATAAAAATGTAAAAATAACACCGTCAGGTATTACAGTACAAATATACCCATGTATGAGGGTTTAATTAATACCACCTAGAGGGTGGAATAATAATAAGATAATAAACAAACACATGGTATTACAAGGATAATTTCCAACATTATCCCTTCAAATGTCAATGTTCTACACCAAGACAAGGATAATAAAGTCAATTGGCATTATATAGCATCTTTTCTTTTTAGTGTGGGGAACACAAGAAAAATAAATTATTATATTGCCTTTTTTAATACCTCATGGTCATAGATGTGAAGGGTATTCAAGTTAATTTTAAATACAATCATTATATTTTGTGGAATCCATGTCTATTGTGAAAAACTTATCCATGGTGTAGGATGAGAAAAGATAATAAACTAATGTATATCAAACCCAAGGGGTGGAATGGGTTGGAACGGATACTCCAATCCCACCCAACTAATTCCTTAAAATAAACATGCCAACCAACAGGATCATACTTTGGTGCTTATTTTATGGGACACTTTATGGTATCAAAATTTTTTTTTGGTATTAATATTGTCAATTATTACTTTGTATGATAAAGTTATAATTTTGAATAAAAAGGTTACAACCGGTCATCCCAAAAGGCTCTGAAATTGTCATTCTGTTGACCACGATCATCGACTTCAGAGCAATCTATCTACACTAGGATCCGAACTGGAAAATGTAGTCTACAGAACTGGAAAATCTATCTCCATGAACGGAGGACCTTTTTTGTAAGGAACATGCTACACAATTTAAATGGTATCTAAAAGTTAAAACTTAAATACATATTATTCATTGAATGAGAGTTGAATAAGTGAATCCTACTGAAAAAATTAATGAGACTTACTCATCAAAAAAATGATATACATTTAGATTACAAATTTTTTAGTTTTATTTGGGTTTTATAACATTATTCGTCAAGGATGACAAGGTTGGTTGGGTGGGGGGAGGGAATATTTGTAGTGCTTTTAATCAGATCACAAGACACCCCAACGCCCCACCCCAATCACCCTAGACTGTTGCATAACGAATTAACCCAAGCTGCTCATAGTCATAAGAATAATTCAAAATAAATTCATATAGAAGGTATACTGTTTGCATACGTACGTCAGTTTACAGACGCAGAGATGAGATATAGCCTTGACTACAACAATAATATAACTCTTTATAAAGTGATCTCTCCTTTTTTTTTAATCAAAAATCGTAAGCAGTTGTATTAATTTGAAATGGTATAAGAGGTAAGGCACCATAAAGTCTGGTGCATCCCATAGCCAAACATCTAGATGATCAACAAATTTAGCATTTTGCGCAAATTCATGTGGTACACTATTCCCTGTCCGTCTAACATCCTTGCATTATTACAATGACGGGAACTATAGTGAAGGTGATGTAATCATAGGTGGAGGAAGGTGGATCCCCGGCCTTGATGTCCATCCTTTCCGCTTCCTGTAGTTCTCGACTGCCTGTAAGCGGAGCCTCTCTTGTGACGCATCATGGGTAGCTTTGGATGCCTTCATGAGAGAGAGAGTTTTTAAGCTAAAATGAAGACTGTTGTTACTCTGTTAGCTAACACTAAAATTTAAGACCAGTTAGCAGTGAGCTTGGGCATGCCTTTGCCACCCTCACCACCCGTAAAGTGAGTAGTAGTAGAGTTTCAAATCCTAGCTAGGAATGTGTATTTGTGCGTAATCTAATCAAAGTAACCATAAACAGGTGAGACACTACCTTTGGAAATGAGAGCAACTTGGGTGGAGCTTCAACTACCTCTCCAAATTTGATCAGATCACGTCCAGGAAAGTCCAAATCCTCTCCTGCCTTGACCTTTTTGTGTTTCTTTTTCATTGCTTCCAAACGCCTGCACAAATTCCAAACTAGTTCATTTAAATCTCCAAAAACTGGTGCACTTAGTTTTTTTTTTTTTTTTTAGTCTTTCATTTTATCAGGCAATGCCAACATTTAGAGCTCGAGCTCAACTGATGAGGTTAAGCTGAGAAGATACATAATGCTCTCTCACCCCCACCCCACAAAACCCAGGCCACGCAAACCCAAAAAAGGGAGGACAAAATTCAAAACAAAACATTTGCATCTAGATAACGAGGTCAACAGAAAAGTATTGAAGAATGAAAACTTCATCATAGAAAAGAGAAAATCAAACCCAATTTACGATTCTATTGCTTACAAAAATGAAAATTGATTCTGACTTGCTCTAACTTTCCATTATGTTACAGGATTATTATCCATTTCCTTTTCTAGTTGGTAAATTTTTCCTAGTTGACTCCCTGTCCATGAAAAAGCAAATTTTCAAACAGAAAAATATTATCACTGTAACCCGAAACTGTCCAAGTATATTTCTGTTGTCTTTGTGGATAGCAAGGAGTTTACCTCGCATAATATTGTAGGCACCGAATTCAAACCATGGAAATGATTAGTTTAACTGTCCTCAAAGTTTGCCAACTAGATAGAGGTTTACTTCATAGTTCTTGTAGGCCCCGAATTCAACCCATGGAAATGATTAGTTTAACTATCCTCAAAGTTTGCTTCATAGTTCCCAAACTAGATAGAGAAGATCATATTGAACATAGTGAACACTAGACGAGATTGTTATTACTAACATATAAATGCTCTTTGATCCTATTTCCCAACCAACAGCAGCAGTGGCATTTGGACAGAAGCACTACTTAAACCAAAAGTCCAGCAGCAAGATTTGGGGAAAAGCGAATAAGGACAACAATGTTTGCTATATCAAACTCGAATGTTAATAGATTCTAGCAAGGCTGCAGTTCTATACTCTAAAAGTACAGGATTTTCCTTAGAACCATTCTGGAGGTGGCATGGCCAATGTTCTAAAATGGTGTAGCGCCCCTGGACAACATCTATTTTATCCCTAGGGAAACCCGCAATCTAATTTTTCACTTTTCCTTAACATGCTCATCCTAAGTTTCACCGAATTATCAAATTCTGATGTTGACATTCATAAGAACATGGTTCCAATTCAATGAAGTTTCTTAAAGAAACCTTCATAATGTTGAGAAAGGATCTCGCAATGACTATCACTTTTAAGTATGAACAACAAAACATGTATTGACTATGACATTAATTAGATAAGTTCAATTTAAATAACGTTTCCGTAAAACATCTTCATCTTAAGACACTTTTTCCATCCTTTTCTAGCATCTTCTTTTTGATAAGAACAGAAAAACTCTTCTAAAAAGATGATGACAAAATTTTTTTAACAAAATGTTCATTTTACAAATGTATAGAAAGGCTCACTGTTTCTTATGCTCCCTTCTTTTTGAACCACATAATCCCTCCACCGTTTCAAACCGAAGGTCTTCAGCTTGCTTCCTTTTTCTCTTTTTCTTTTTCTTTTCAAGCATATTATTTCCCACAATTTTATCACCATGATCCATGTGTTGTGGCATCAAATTTCCACCAGTGACTTCCCTTTTGATCCCATTGCTTTTCGAGACATATTCATCCTCTGATCGAAGTTTCTGTAATTAAATCATACATAGGCATGGCACTCAGTATCAAATAGTAAAAAGATAACCTTGAGGACATAAGTTACAGTTCTACTAAGAAATTTACAAAGAGAGGAAAGAAAATACTCAATCTAAAGGCCCTGCCCCATTGTTCGAAGCTAAATTGCATCAAGATGAAGTAGCCCTTACCTTGTCACCATTACCATTGACACCACCATCACCTCTTTTATTCCTTTTAACATCCACTGATCCCTTTGAAGATCCTAAAGATATAAGAAACACTCAGTCAAACAGCAAAATTCAGAGAAAGAATCTCAACAGAATTGATTATAAATCCCATTGTTTAGTGTGCAAAACCGGCCCATTTTGTCATACAAATTGAAGTGTGGATACAAATTAGAAACAGTGACAGTAAAGTATGAAATCATCAACTAAATATATAATCACATACAAATTCTGCCAAAATCCAGAAATCCATATGAAATATTCGCCCCACACAGATATATACACATAGAGAGAGAGACAGAGAGGACCTGTGAAAGCCATGATTTGGCGAAGCTTGGAGGGGACAGCGTCGAGGGAGGAGCGATCAGGTGGAGGTGGCAGACGACTGTTCGCTCCATGTGCTGCTCTGTAGTTCTTCTCTCTTCTCCTCTGTCCTTTTCCTACCATCTCTCTCTCTCTCACACACACACACACACAGTAAATTTCCTAAACCCTAACCCCGTGCTCTCAATGAAGATGTGAGGCGATCGGTAGCATTTGGAACATACCACCCAATTTGAATTTGGGTTCGGGTCAATCCATAATATTATCTGGGCCTAATTTATTACTATACAACAATTCAGTATTAATTGAAATTTACCATCAATATACTGTTTGTGATAAATTATACAAATAATTAGGTCCATAAAGTATTATCCCAGGTCAATTGAGATCAAATTACTAATTAGTGGGATCAATGATACAATTCGTTCATGTAAGTCTAGTGGTAGCTCAGGCTCTTAGAGTCGCCGCTCATAAATTTATCTTTTATGTGGAAAGGTGGTTTTGTATAAGGTCTAATATTAATTCAGTACGTGAGCGAAACAATTAAAATATCAAAAATAAAAAAAATTGGGATCGATTTGGAAAAAAAATTTAGAAGAAATTGATCTCAATTTGATCCTCTTGAGTGATAATTATTTGGGTTGGGATAATTATTTTTTTCATTAGTAGTCTGCGTGATTTGTTCTTTACCTCCCTAACATTTCATACTATACTCACAACCTCTATAGTTTGGTGCAAATGAGTAACGTTTTAAGAAGTAATCAAATAGGGCACTTCATTGGGTGGCCGTTGCTGTACTATCCACTTCTCTTGCTGTGACTTAGACCAGCTCTCCCCCGTTAGAGTTTAAGACTTTTTTTGCGTCTGATTGTAATCAAGTTTTTCCTAGATTAATGAATCTATTATGTTTCTGATTAAAAAAAAATAAGTAATCAAATAACAAAGAGTAAAATATACATATGACCTTTAAATTATGATTGTTGTATCAATTAAACTTGTGAAAAAAATTTTAGTGTCAATTGAGCCCTTGAACGCTCTATATGTGTCAATTGAACTCTTTTGTGTGTACTGTTATTCGCAGAAAAATAAAGATATATAATTTCAACCACCTAAGAATCACAATTTCTATTATATAAAACTCTACTCCTATCAAAAAAAAATACGGTTTTAGACATGAGAATGAGCAATTATTAGGTTGGTGAGACATTATACCCAATCCTTATTTGTGCTTAACTACAACACATCATTCTCACAAGCAAAAAATAATTTATTTTGACATCTGAAATAGACAAAGGAACTTACTAAAATAAAATTTATTAATTTAATAATAACTAAATCATGACAATTAAAAATTTAATAAGCTTCTTTTGGCCAAAAAGGTGCCACAATCGTCTCATGCTTGACTTGTACTTATCTAATTCATTGACCATATACAATAAGTGGTCAGCGGATTATACACATAATACTTTATTTCAGGATTATTAATATACTTAATAATCACTTATGACAATTTTTTTTTCAGCTCCAGAGTACCCTTGCCTGCTTGAGCTTTTCGAACTCGTTTTAATCCTTGTGTTTGAGGATCATAATTCTGCAACCAATTTGGATGTAGGCACATAAAATCAAATCAAATTTAAGATATAAACTCCAAAAATAATATCCATTGAATATGTGAAACATAGTTATCAAACCAAATTCAAATTTCAATCAATCAAAATTAACCCAAATGTGATCCATGCCTATATGAATTTCAGCTCATCTTTGCTTTGTCCATGTCTCCCCTCCTTTCACAAAGCTTTCCAATTTGGACAGGGCACCCTATTGTTTTATTGCCAAATGACAGTGGTTGTGGACCCCCCACATCCCCCTTACTATCAAAAAGATGTTAAAAGTTTTTTGTTTTGTTTTAATGGTTGGGAGTTAACTTATGCGTATTTTGATTAATTTTTTTTTCAATTCAATCATAAATAAATTATCTATGCTAAAATTAAAAAATTCATAAAAAAATATCTCTCATAATCTGAATATAAAAAATTATCATGATATTCAGATATTGATGTTAAAATTGAGCTCCCAATTGAGATCAAATAATAGAAATGGGCACCCATACAAATGCTGACAAAAGTATCTACAGTCAGAGAGGTGGAGTCATAAATTTATTAGGGACAAATTTAAATAATAATCTATACTACTTAGCATGCGTGGAAATTTTTTAATTTTCTATTTCACCCTTAATTATTACTATAAAATCAATTATACCCACATATTTTCCTGTCTTTCATACAAACCTGACTTCCAAAATATTAGCTAGATAAATCTTATACATATGACCTTTGAATTATGATTGTTGTATCAATTAAACTTGTGAAAAAAAATTTAGTGTCAATTGAGCCCTTGAACGCTCTATATGTGTCAATTGAACTCTTTTGTGTGTACTGTTATTCGCAGAAAAATAAAGATATATAATTTCAACCACCTAAGAATCACAATTTCTAGTATATAAAACTCTACTCCTATCAAATAAAATTACGGTTTTAGACATGAGAATGAGCAATTATTAGGTTGGTGAGACATTATACCCAATCCTTATTTGTGCTTAACTACAACACATCATTCTCACAAGCAAAAAATAATTTATTTTGACATCTGAAATAGACAAAGGAACTTACTAAAATAAAATTTATTAATTTAATAATAACTAAATCATGACAATTAAAAATTTAATAAGCTTGTTTTGGCCAAAAAGGGTGCCACAATCGTCTCATGCTTGACTTGTACTTATCTAATTCATTGACCATATACAATAAATGGTCAGCGGATTATGCACATAATACTTTATTTCAGGATTATTAATATACTTAATAATCACTTATGACAATTTTTTTTTCAGCTCCAGAGTACCCTTGCCTGCTTGAGCTTTTCGAACTCGTTTTAATCCTTGTGTTTGAGGATCATAATTCTGCAACCAATTTGGATGTAGGCACATAAAATCAAATCAAATTTAAGATATAAACTCCAAAAATAATATCCATTGAATATGTGAAACATAGTTATCAAACCAAATTCAAATTTCAATCAATCAAAATTAACCCAAATGTGATCCATGCCTATATGAATTTCAGCTCATCTTTGCTTTGTCCATGTCTCCCCTCCTTTCACAAAGCTTTCCAATTTGGACAGGGCACCCTATTGTTTTATTGCCAAATGCCAGTGGTTGTGGACCCCCCACATCCCCCTTACTATCAAAAAGATGTTAAAAGTTTTTTGTTTTTTTTTTAATGGTTGGGAGTTAACTTATGCGTATTTTGATTAATTTTTTTTTAATTCAATCATAAATAAATTATCTATGCTAAAATTAAAAAATTCATAAAAAAATATCTCTCATAATCCGAATATAAAAAATTATCATGATATTCAGATATTGATGTTAAAGATTGAGCTCCCAATTGAGATCAAATAATAGAAATGGGCACCCATACAAATGCTGACAAAAGTATCTACAGTCAGAGAGGTGGAGTCATAAATTTATTAGGGACAAATTTAAATAATAATCTATACTACTTAGCATGCGTGGAAATTTTTTAATTTTCTATTTCACCCTTAATTATTACTATAAAATCAATTATACCCACATATTTTCCGGTCTTTCATACAAACCTGACTTCCAAAATATTAGCTAGATAAATCTTATACATATGACCTTTAAATTATGATTGTTGTATCAATTAAACTTGTGAAAAAAATTTAGTGTCAATTGAGCCCTTGAACGCTCTATATGTGTAAATTGAACTCTTTTGTGTGTACTGTTATTCGCAGAAAAATAAAGATATATAATTTCAACCACCTAAGAATCACAATTTCTAGTATATAAAACTCTACTCCTATCAAATAAAATTACGGTTTTAGACATGAGAATGAGCAATTATTAGGTTGGTGAGACATTATACCCAATCCTTATTTGTGCTTAACTACAACACATCATTCTCACAAGCAAAAAATAATTTATTTTGACATCTGAAATAGACAAAGGAACTAACTAAAATAAAATTTATTAATTTAATAATAACTAAATCATGACAATTAAAAATTTAATAAGCTTCTTTTGGCCAAAAAGGGTGCCACAATCGTCTCATGCTTGACTTGTACTTATCTAATTCATTGACCATATACAATAAATGGTCAGCGGATTATGCACATAATACTTTATTTCAGGATTATTAATATACTTAATAATCACTTATGACAATTTTTTTTCCAGCTCCAGAGTACCCTTGCCTGCTTGAGCTTTTCGAACTCGTTTTAATCCTTGTGTTTGAGGATCATAATTCTGCAACCAATTTGGATGTAGGCACATAAAATCAAATCAAATTTAAGATATAAACTCCAAAAATAATATCTATTGAATATGTGAAACATAGTTATCAAACCAAATTCAAATTTCAATCAAACAAAATTAACCCAAATGTGATCCATGCCTATATGAATTTCAGCTCATCTTTGCTTTGTCCATGTCTCCCCTCCTTTCACAAAGCTTTCCAATTTGGACAGGGCACCCTATTGTTTTATTGCCAAATGCCAGTGGTTGTGGACCCCCCACATCCCCCTTACTATCAAAAAGATGTTAAAAGTTTTTTGTTTTCTTGTTTGAATGGTTGGGAGTTAACTTATGCGTATTTTGATTAATTTTTTTTTCAATTCAATCATAAATAAATTATCTATGCTAAAATTAAAAATTCATAAAAAAATATCTCTCATAATCCGAATATAAAAAATTATCATGATATTCAGATATTGATGTTAAAGATTGAGCTCCCAATTGAGATCAAATAATAGAAATGGGCACCCATACAAATGCTGACAAAAGTATCTACAGTCAGAGAGGTGGAGTCATAAATTTATTAGGGACAAATTTAAATAATAATCTATACTACTTAGCATGTGTGTAAATTTTTTAATTTTCTATTTCACCCTTAATTATTACTATAAAATCAATTATACTCACATATTTTCCTGTCTTTCATACAAACCTGACTTCCAAAATATTAGTTAGATAAATCTTATCTCTATGATTTGGTAGATAAACTTTAACAAAATATTAGCTAGATAACTATATCTCTATGACTTGATAGATAAACCTTATCCCTATGACAACACATTCTTTATTTTCCATTCAATAATACAAACTCTACTAATACTATATATTGGTAATTTTTAGGTGATACATATACATATATTTTTTTGTCTTTTCTACTAATTAGATTTCTAAAATATTTTGAATTCCTTTATATATATATATATATATATATATATAGAAGTTTAATAAGTAGGAAAAACTATGTACAATATATATGAATAGAAGTCTATGTATTATGTACCATGTTTTTGAATATTTTTTATCATTTATTGGCTGAAATTTATCAAATTTTGAGGTTAAAAGATTAAATATCTTTTTTCTTGGTATTTTAATTATTGACTTACCTTTATAAAAAATAATTCAATGATATTACTCATCAACTTTATATTTCAAATAAATTTAATAACAAATTAAAGAACTAAATTTTTTTTCACGTGCGTCCTAGTGCCATAAAAAGACTAAACTAGCAACAAATATAAAATTTTAAACATTGATTAATAACAATTCTATTTAACACATTTATAACGTTTTTACTAGTTTTTATATTTTAAAAATATTATATAATAATCTCGTTGTCAATATAATTAATGATATTTTTCTAGTACACCTAAATTAACAACGGTAAGAGAGATCAAGAGATGAAACAATATATATAGGGAGAATTATATTCAGATTTTTTAAAATTTGTCATTTAATTACTTAAACTCCCTGTCATTTAAAATATTACATATAGACCTCCTAAAGTTTGTACGCGTGTAACACTTAGACCTTTGCTGTAAATATATTCATTAATAAATTATAATTAGACTCCCTTGAAGTTTGTAGATATATAATACTTAAACCCCTTAAATTTAAAATATTATATTTAGACAAAAAATACTCTAATCAGAGATAGAATCAAATATTTTAAATATTACAACTAAAATTCCTATCCTATTGTATCATTTATTGAAAAAAAATTGAAATTAAAAATTTAATTTGTCTTAAAAAAAGTGTAATTAATTTTTTTTTTTAAAAAAAATCATAATTAGTATATAATTATACTATCTATTAGAATCAAACTAAAAAAATTAAATAAGAGGTCAAACTGTAATAGACACAGTATCTTTTAGCTTTAATTAGGGTAGTTTGGTATTTTAATTTGGTCGTTTAAACGACCAAATTAAATTTCAATAGACAATATAATTGTATACTAATTACAATTTTTTACGAAAAAATTAAATTTTTATTTTTGATTTTATTTCATTAAAAGATAAATAGAATATGAATTTTAATTATAAAATTTAAAATATTTGATATTTTATCTTTAATTGAAATATTTTTGGTCTAACTATAACATTTTAAACTTAAAGGGTCTAAAGAATATATGTTTACAAACTTCAGGGGGTTTGATTATAATTTATTAACGAATATATTTATAGTAAAAGTCTAAGTGCTACGTGCGTATAAATTTTAGAGAATTTGTATGGAATAATTTAAATGTCAGGGGTTCTGAGTGATTAAGTGACAAATTTCAGATGGTTTAAGTGTAATTCTCTCACATATATATATATATATATATATATGTATAATAAAACACGAGTATATTTGAATTTTATCCCAGTCATATTTTCTCCCTTAAAATTATCACTAATCACTTACCTCATTTATCATTCTTTTGTCAGACTCAAATGTCAAATCACATCACTCATTTCTAGCACATATTTAATCATTTATATATTTTTTCCATAAAAATATCACACAACTCATTTTTGTCATATATTCAATTATTTAATATTTAATTAATTTATAGTTAATATATTTTTAAAAAATTTAATATAATAAAATCAATTTTTTGAACGCTGTTTTTTTTATATTTTATTATACTTTTGGACATGACAAATGGAGAGAGAGAGAGAGCGCGCGGCGGCATCTCGACAGCCACTCAAAAAAAGAGTGGCTGCCCAGAAAGCCTTGTAGTAATTGGTCTGGTCCCACAGCTCCCATAAAAGCTGAAAGAAAGGAGAAACAGAAAAATAGAACCTTTTAATGGATTTCATAGCATCTTTGCTTGCACTAACCTTTGTGTTGGCATGCATTCATGTCCTCAAACACAGTTCATACCGGCGGCAGCCCGGTCCTCCTGGCCCCTACCCTTTTCCGATCATCGGCAACATCTTCCAACTCGGCCACAAACCCCACCTCTCACTAGCCACCCTCTCCAAAACTTATGGTCCATTGATGTCTCTTCAGCTGGGGACCATAACCACCATGGTCGTATCATCACCCAAAATAGCCAAAGAAGTGTTGCAAAAACATGATCAGGTCTTCTCTGGCCGACCAGTTCCACATGCTATCACGGCACTTGACCACAACACGGTCTCCATGGCGTGGTTACCGGCAGAAAAACAATGGCGGAACCTTCGCAAAATATGCAAAGAGCACTTGTTTTCATCGCAACGACTCAATGCCAGTCAAGTCCTTCGCCGTGAAAAGGTACAGGAACTGCTTGATTATATCCATGAATGTTGCATCAGAAGCCAAGCCGTGGATATTGGTCGAGTTGCCTTCACAACCACCCTTAATTTGATATCAAACACCATTTTCTCGATAGATTTGGCTCACCTGCACGATTCCAATGGTTCTCAAGTACCCAAGGACATTGTATGGGGTTTGATGGAATATGTTGGGAAGCCTAACCTTGCAGACTACTTCCCAGTACTTAGACTGATTGATCCACAGGGCATACTGAAACAGGGACAAATTTATTTTGAAAAATTGTCAGTGATATTTGATGGTATCATCAATCGACGGATAGAATCAAGATCTTCCTCGTCTTCAAGAAGCAATGATCTGCTGGAAACCCTCCTGGATCTAAGCCAAAAGAATGATTCTGAGTTGAGCTACAAAGACATGAAACATATGTTTGTGGTCAGTACCATTTTTCAAATCTAATTTTGATTCGTTAGGTTCAATATTCATGGTATGCTTTGAGACAAATCCTCTTCATAACCCCTATACAACAATCTTTTTGTGAAGAACAAAATAGGTAGTATAGTGTACGGAGCTCTCGTCATTATAAAATTTAGTAACAGTCAAATGTATACCATTATATCCAAACCCCCGAGTATAGAGTTTGTTTCTGTGACTTGTACCTGTGTTGTTCATATCAAAATTGAGTAACCTTAGAATTTTAAGGATCATTACTCTAATTTAAGTAATGTATATACATACTAATGCATAACCTTCAATCACAAACACCTCCAGAACAAGTCCGTATCATAGAGAACAACATACAAGTAAGATTTTAATTTCCCTTTATTTTTTTTTATTTTTTGCAATTCTTTTCTACGTTATTTGAACTAGTGTATGTCAAAGTAGCTAAATGGAAGGATGCCTTTTTGCAATAAATTTCTTAATCCCTCAGACACGGACTTCATAGACCAAATTGTTAGAAGTATTTTAAGGTGTAATTTCTGGCGCATTAAGCTTAGTTTTTGTTCCCCAGTGATCTCTGTCTAGCTTTTGCAAGATGGATTTTACTAAGGGACTTTTCGATATCCTGCAAAAAGTTAGGTCCTTATCAAGTTACGTCTTGACTCAAAACAGGACGAACTACGAATCAATGAGGTGGATTGATCCAAGAGATCAATTGTAATTTTTTATGGCGGATCCCAAGTTTTTAGACACCACCATTAATTACTAATTTTGACCTGTACCCTTTTCCCAATAAGTTCATGAGCTCCTAATCTCACATTAGCTATTCTTTTTCAGGACTTATTTGTGGCAGGGACTGATACAACTACAACCACGGTGGAATGGGCAATGGCAGAGTTACTGCAGAACCCCACCATAATGGCAAGAGCTCGAACAGAGCTGGAGCAAGTCATTGGCAAGGAAGGAGGAGCTGTTCAAGAATCAGACATCGCAAGGCTGCCTTACTTGCAAGCAGTAGTAAAAGAAACCTTTCGATTGCACCCACCAGCCCCATTTCTAGTTCCTCACAAAGCTGAATCTGACACAAAAATCAACGGATACATAGTGCCAAAGAATGCACAGATACTGATAAATTTATGGGCAATCGGCAGAGATTCAAGCATTTGGTCAAACCCGGATTCATTTGTGCCTGAGAGGTTCTTGGAGAGTGAAATTGACTTCAGAGGCCAAGACTTTGAGCTGATTCCCTTTGGAGCAGGAAGAAGGATTTGTCCAGGACTGCCACTTGCTCATCGGATGGTTCACCTTATCTTAGCCTCTCTGCTTCACTGCTTTGATTGGAAGGTTGAAGATGGGATGATACCGAAAGAAGTGGACATGAGTGACAAGTTTGGGCTTACACTAAGTAAAGCCGTGCCTCCGAAGGCTTATCCGATCAAAGTTTGACCATTCTTGTTACCATCACCGCTACTATAACATCCCAATTCAAACAATAATAAGTGGTTCTAAATTGTAGTTGGGGCCAAATTTTAATAAATATAAAGGTTAAAATCGTATTGGGTAATGAAGTACTATTCTTTAAATTAGTAGAGAGAAAAATACGAATATTTAAAGCTTTGTCTATTGGCCCATTAGGCATCTCTTTGGGTTGGTTAGATTATATAGACAACATCTAATATGGGACTGATGAAGTTTAAAAATTGAGTGAAAATTGAAAGTGAGTTCCTTAGATGTGCTTGTGTTTGAGATATGTCCTGCAATAAAATTTATAAGGGGCTAAGTTCATATTTAAAATTATATGTAATGACTTAAATTTAATTTTTTTTTATTTCAAAAATACCCTTCCTTGAAAAAAAGTTAATATTTCCTCTCTCATATTTATCTGTATCCATATATCGGTTAAAAGTTTGACTAACATTAAAATTTTTCCTCTTATATATATATATATATATATATATATATATATATATATATTAAAAAAATAGTAACATTCAAATATAAAAAAAAAATTACAATGAAATTCATGTTACTATTTTTTTTATTATATTACTCTTCATGTTACTGTTTTTGTTGAGTATGTTACTGTTCATATATTTTTATTTTTGAACATGTTACTATTTTTGTTGACCATATTACTACTATTATTTTTTTAAATATAAATATTCAATATTACTTTTTTTTTTGAATATTACTATTTTTTTTATTTGAATGATATTATTTTTTGCATTTGAATTTAAGACAAAATAATTATTGTTAAGTATGTTACAGTTTTTGTTAAGTATGTTATTTTTTTTTGTTGAACTTGTTAATATTTTTGTTAAACATGTTACTGTTATTATTTTTTAAAAAAATTAATATTGAATGTTTCAATTTTTTTTATGTTTAAATGTTGCTATTTTTTTGTGTCTAAATGTATTATTTTTTGTGTCCAAATAATAATTTTTTTTTGTATTTGAATTTTACTAATTTTTATTTTTAATGTTACTATATATATATATATATAAATAAATAAATAAGAAAGAAAAATTTTTTTAATGCTAGTTAAATTCTTAACCTATATATAAATATAGATAAATATGAGAGAAAAAATTTTAATGTTAGTCAAACTCCTAAGATTTATAAATTTTTAATTTTTAGTTTTATTTCACTTCTAAAAAGAAGGGATAATATGATAAAATTGACAAAAAACAGACTTCATAACAAATAAATTTTTTTAACGGACTTAAGTCCAAACAAGTTTATATAGAGGGACCAGTCTCCAAATTTTTTTTAAATTAATGTATTAACATCTAATACGATAATAAAATTGACTACTACATATATCTAACAGTGATAACAGTGCTCCTAATCCCTGGCGTCAATATCAGACCCCGCCTCCCCCTCACCACCCCACCCGCAATCAGTTTCACGAACCTCACAGTCGGCGGCTCCACTGGGTGGTTCTTCAACTCCATTACCAACAACATAAGCACCACTAATTCCTCTTCATGGGCCACAAGTCAAACCTTTAATCTGGCAGAATATCCAAGGAAGAACATCTACTTTGCCTTTTCTCTCATAATTTCACCAGTGATTCATTGATTTTTAACTTAACGTTGTTGTCGTACGTTAGGAAAAAGGCACAGGTTTTGTGGTCCTCAGAAGACTTGTAGAAGCCTTGATACAAATGTTTTCAAATTGGAGAAAATATTCATTATAACGACTTGATCATGTCAATATTGTCATGTGACGTAGCCATTCAATGATAACTCACCAAAAAAGAAAAGTGGATCTCACTCATTCGATTAACTATCCCTCCATATAAGATAGTAAAATCACCCTAGGGGTAAACCTCGGGGTTCTGATGGTATCAGTCTTCTCTTGAATCTTCTAACTATCTTTTTGTTATTCCTATTATTGGAAGGCATTAAGTTCTGCAAAGGACATTACTTAAGATGATAGTGAATAGATGGAATTGCATTAATTTTTCAAAATCGGGGAAGATTCATTCTGGTTGTAAGTAAGCGAAAAGAGTGTACCATGACTGCTATGCAAAAGTTTGAAAAACTCATTTGGGTTCTTTGTGGGCTGCTTTGGTATGCACTTGATTACATTGAATGTCTTGAATGTTACAAAAGTGAAGTGGCTAAGTGTTGTACGTGTAGAGCAGCTTTCAGGATACTCTTCATTGATCCATCCTTCGTGTATGTTGGATTTGGTTTTGTACCTATATGTGCTTTGATTCATTCTAACAAAGCACCATTACTTTCTCCTTTTCTACAGTGGATGTATCCGAAGTCACGGGAAAAGAACAGACAGAAGCGCAACCAGCTAAAAAAGGAAGGGGAAGGAAACAATAACATCCATATATCAAGAAATCGGCTTTGGGCAAAATTACAGCAGTTATGGCTATAAAGCAAAAGGTTTTTGTTTTCCAAGCTATTTGATTCTGGTTGAAAACGATTTATTCGAGGTAACTTAACCCTTTTGCTGTTCAATTAGCAAATTTTCAAGGGAGGGCTTTGTCTCTAAAAAAAAAAAAAAGTGGTAAACCTCGGGCAAGTTGGTAAGATTGAGGGGTCAACCCTAGTTTAAAATTTTAAGTATATAATTCTCACGTTTAATTCTAATCCAACCTCAACCCGCGTATTGCCTAAGTTTAATTTAAATAGGTTCGAGTTGAATTCAGGCAGGCTCAGAGTTGAATTCGGGTTACGTAGTATCCGCAAATTTCGGATTGGGTTCGTATTACGCAATTCGGATTGATTTTGGATTAAAATTCGAGTTTGGTTCATTTAAGCCCGATCAAATATTTATTTAAAGTAACAATCAACAATTTTAATCAAATATTTAACATAAAGACCATAATATTTAAAACATAAAAATTAATGTTTATCATAAAGACATAATAGTCAAATGTTTAACATATGATTGAATCATAAGACTAATCCCTAATGTTTTAACTTGTAAATTATATTGTTATATTGATTTATATATTTATTTTTAAATATGTTTGAGCATTCAAGTTGAACCCAATATAGAATTCGGATTAAGCTGGATTTAAAATTCGGGTTGAGCCCCGATTTATATATTCAAGTTAAATCCAGTAATCCGAGGCTTCTACCCAAATACTATCCAAATTCAATTCGGGTAGGTGTTTTTCTCCCCATGTCTAACCGAAATATTAAAAACCACAAGTCAAGCCTTGTTTTTCTCGGATTGGATTCGAGTTGAATTCAGGTTGACCCGCCAAATTGTACCCCTAAACCACCCTAGATTAAAAAAAAAAATGGTCACCTTATCTACTTGTTAATTTAATATTGGACAGTTACACCGAATATTTTACTCCCTCAAATAAACAAGAAATGGAGATAACCATAATCCACCTAGCATACAATTGACTGACTACTTATAAATCCTTTATCAGGCAGAATACTAAAAATATAAAGGCCTTCCTCATCCCATATACATAGAATTTTCTTTCAGAAATTGATCAAAACTAAATTGCCACAAGATGAATATTCCTTACCTTGTCATCACCATTGCCACCACCATATCCATATTTCTGTGCTTAACCTTTGAAGATCCTAAAGACATAGGATTACACCGAGTCAAAAAGAAAAATCAGATAAAGAATCTCAATAGACCCATTATATCATACACCGGTATAAAGCTATATCATAATAAAAAATGTATACACACAGACAGTGAAATAAGCAATTAGCAATGCATATATAAACACACACTTGTATACTACGAATACCGTCAAACCAATTTGACATATACGCCCCACCCAGACAAACACACACTTATCAACACACAGAGAGGGACTGTGACAGCCATTATTTTCCGAAGTTTGGAGGGGACAGCATCGAGGGAGGAGGGATCAGGCGGAGGTAGTAGACGATTATTGTCTCAATGTTGCCATCCACCCAAATTGATTACCAACTTCCTCCAGTTCAAGAAAAATTTATGTAGAGACAAGGGTTTGATTAGGTTGGAGTTTATTATATATATTTTTTAAAATATATAACTTTTAGGGTTAAATTAAATTATTTTTGAGTGAAGTTATAGTATTCTTTGAGGTGTTTGGCGGTTTGATATCAAAAAAATATTTTTCGCTAACGTAAATTTATCAAAGTTACAATGGAACCAATTGTCTTTTTTTATTCTAGGTAGATTATGTAAAAAAAAAATGTTTGCAAATAAGAGTGAATCATCAATTTCCAATGTAGTCCTAGAAGTGGATAATCCTCTCCTCTGGATGCTTCCCACCTATGCCTTTGGGGGGTCGAGTACTTGGTCGGGGTAAGAACTCGAATTTTCTTATTTAATATTTGGGTTTAGTGTTCTTAATTGTGACAACTCGTTAATGTTAAATTTATTTATTTTAGCACTCAAAACACGCGATCGGACTTTAACTTCGGCCCCAACATAGGTGCGATATAATCTCTTACAGATAAATGTATAGTGCTAAGGTGACGAATATGTGGAGTGACCTATTTACAAATTTATTTTCAACACAAAAAAGAAAAGAAAAGAGAGTAATTGTGTCTTTTGGACGCTCAATTCAGTCATTTCACTAATTTGTATATAATTTTGGGCCGATAAGAGATGCAATAATCAAATATAACTTAATTTTTAAAGTAATAACTTTTGGTAAAATAAGAATTTTTTTTGATATACCTTTTTTTTTGTGGAAAGTAAATAGTTACAGCAATGTTATCCCCAATTAACATTGTTATTTAATTTGCTAAATTTAATTCAATTTCAAATTTTTAAATTTTAACGAATTTAATTATGGACGTAAAAGTAAAATCCATTAAAATATTAAATTGTGGCTTTTAAATCGAGTTTCCTAATTTGTAAGCACACATACTTTTTCATTTATGGGAAAGGCTACGGTATCGAAGGAAGTACCGTATAGAAATTTATAATTTTTAAAAATCATGATCGATTATGATAAATTGAGATTGATAACAAAGTTATAATTCTTAAAGGTCAAATTACAAATCATAAGAAAAAAGTTACAATTGTTCAGGAGAAGTCTATGATGTTTTAACCAATTGTAACTTCTTTTTTTTGAATTATAACTTTATAATAAAAATAATAAATGGCCTTTGAGCGAGTCTCTATCAAAAATTGCCCCACTCGTATTGTCTTATTTATGAATGCCCGACCACTTACTGATGAATTTTATCAGTTTTCGCAGCTAAAAGAGGAGAAGACACGATCAAATCAAAGTCCAACTTGCCCTTCACCGCCCGAATTAAATTCATGTCGTCTCCGATTCAATTTATGTGGATGTGACCGTGGCATGCCTTCGAGATATTTCAGCCCATTGGCTTTGTCCATAACTCCTTTCCCATGTCCGTTAGACATTATACTAAAAATTATTGTTTTCCGTTACATCCCTTAAACGTCCATATATGACTAAAAATATTTCATTAATTGGGCATTTAAATAATTCTGTGTAAAAGATATATTACATTGGATATAAAAAATATTATATAAATACCTGAATTATAGTGGGTATTCAAATAACAAACTTGATTTTAAATTTTAGAATATAACAGGTCTAAAAAATAAAAAGTAGTAGGAAATTATAATTTTAAATACTAACAATGTTTGAAAATACTTTACAACACTAAAAATCAAGCGTTGATTGTGTAAATTTTATATTTTAAATAATAATTTTATATTTATTTTCTTTTTTCAAATTACGTAATTTAAAATTAAAATAATCAGAGAGAGATAGAGAAGAGAGAGATAAGTGTGAATTAGTAAAATTATCTAATATTAAGAAGTGTGTTAGTGGAGTTGTAACACATTAAGAAGCGTGTAGAGAAAATAATATTTTTAATTAAAAAAAAATTGAATAAATTTTATATCATTAAATCAAAATAAACAAAAATTAAATCAATTTGAACTATTATTGTGATTTTATAAATTAAAAATTCAACTTTTTGACCGTAAAATAAGATAGATAATAGGCCAGTCAAATCCCAATGCGTCCACTGTTTCTGATCCAATAACAGTCATAAGTATCTTCCTTACTAAAATTATTTTTTATTTGTTTGGTTCATTGGTTTGTGATATTTAGATCAATTTATGAATATCTCAACTAATTCTCTCTACAATTCAATCAAAGATCAATCATCCACGCCGAGACTTATTACTTGCTAGCATTACTTGAAGGTAAGGACTTGAAAAGTGTTTCTCATTCTTTTTGAAATTTATAAATTTTGAATTAACAAAAATTTGATATAAATAAATAATTTACTCAAATCACATGATATTATGATGTCCCTTATACCCATCTATCTATTCCCACTAACTAATCACTATTTATTCAAACTATTTTTCAAAAATTTACTTTTATTATCATTTAATTTTTCATAATTCTTCTAATCTCTCAATCTGTAAGGGCGAGAGAAGAAGAAAGATTAAGATAGAAAATAGAAGAGGAGGTGACGAATATAATACATTCAATACAACGACGATACCACATGGTGAATACTATATCCAATTTAGTACTTACTAGATGTTATGATTATTAATTTTTTATTGGAATAATGCAAATTTTAGACTTATTATTCTTTCATAATTAGTTGACAAAATTACGTGTGTATCACTTTTATATTTAATATTTACACCGGAGGGAGATTTAAATTTGGGAGAATTACTATAAAGTCCCACACTCCTCAAGTGCCCTGGTTTATGGGTAAGCCGTATTTAATTTGGGTAATACTACACCAACAGAAGAATAAAACCAAATATAGGTCAAAATTCAAAAAAGTTCTTTCTATTTGAGTAATTTTTTTTTTCTACATAGTATTTAGATTTGTGCCGCCTATTCCTTCGAGCTCAACAATTAACCACCGTAACTTGAGCTGGATTAAAACATGTCCTTGAAGGAATAATAGTGGCTAGCTCTTAAGGAATGTGGAAAGCAATTGAATCTGAGACCTCTAAGTTATCAAATGTTAGACTCAACCACTAGACATCATCACTTTATGCTATTCTTGGAGAAAATGTTTATTACAACGCTGATACCACGTAACAATATGATGTGATATCACCAACTAACAATATTAAAACAAATAAATAAATAAATCCCACAAAAATTAATAATCAATCTATGATGTAAGCATATAACTCATTACTCTTTTTCCATGTAAGTCTAAGTGAAATTTATCTAACCCACTTAAGGTCTTATTATTGATTGGTGATACCATGTCATTAATGATGACATAGTAATGCATTCAATATTTACTCTTGTTTTTGGCCACTTTTAGGAGTAAATATTGAGTGAAATGGTGACGCCATGTTATCACGATAACATAGTGTCACCATGTAATAATGAACCTACAAGTGGACAATATAAACCCTACTTCATTGTTATTTTCGGACATTGGGTGCTTACCAAATGACATAGAGGGGTATTTATTTATTATAACATATGAGATTCACTTACCTATTATGCTCATATTGGATTGTTTCCACTTTTAGACAGGTGGGTGTCATCCTCGTAATGTTCTCTTACCACATCTTGCCAACAATAAGTCAAAGAGAAGAGAAAGAATCAAAGGAAGATAAGCTAATGGATTTCACAGCATCTTTGCTTGCATTAACCTTGGGGTTGGTATACATTTACGTCCTCATACACTATTCAAACCGCCGGGGACGGCCAAGCACAGCCAGACTGCCTCCTGGCCCCTACCCTTTTCCGATCATCGGCAACATCTTCCAACTCGGCCACAAACCCCACCACTCACTAACCATCCTCTCCAAAACTTATGGCCCTTTGATGTCTCTCCAGCTGGGAAGCATAACCACCGTGGTCGTATCATCACCAAAAATGGCCAAAGAAGTGCTACAAAAACATGATCAGACCACCCCGGGCCGAACTATCCCAGATGCTGCCAGAGCTCTTGACCATCACAAGGTTTCCAAGCTGTGGTTGCCGGTGGAAAAAAAGTGGCGGAATCTCCGAAAGATCTGCAAAGAGCACTTGTTTACAGTGCAACGGCTCAACGCCAGCCAACACCTTCGAACACTTGTTCACAACATCCCTTAACTTGATATTGAACACTGTTTTCTCAGTTGATTTGGCTCACCATGGTTCTGATTCAGCCCACGAATACAAGAATATTATATGCGCTTTGATGGAGTAAGCTGGAACGCCTAATCTTGCTGATTACTTCCCAGTACTTCAACTGATTGACCCACAATGTCTACGGCGCAGGACCCAGATCCATGGTGAAAAACTATTTGCCATATTTGATTGTATCATCAATCAACGATTACAGGAAAGAGATTCATCCCCGACTTCTTCGATGAGAAATGATGCGCTGGAGGCCCTCCTGGATCTAAGCCAAAGGAAAGATACTGAGTTGAGCTACAATGTCATGAAACATATGTTTCTGGTCAGTACCAAATGTTCAAATATGAATTTCATTCATAACACCTTGGTAACAGATCAACTTCATAACACCTTTACTGCCATTTTTATGTGAAGAAATGGCTTATTTATTTCTTCAACTTGACCTTCTGGAGAGAGATTCAAGTTGTTACTAAGATCTATTATGATTGCTATGTGGATCTTAGGTATGTGATCATGACCCTAATTTAACAAATCTATGATATCAACCTTTCGGTGTCATACTCAAAAAATTATGACCCCCTAAGATCAAATTACAATTCCATGAGATCAAAAGTACGACCCAATACATAAGATTTAGTGCTATTGATCCTAAAAAAACGGTATAAGTTAGAATTGATCTTGAGTTTTTTGGATCAATCCCAAAACAATCTCTAAGTCAAAATTCTGCATGTATAAGATGTAATGCGATTGGCAGTAACTTTTAGTATCATACAATGCATAAAGATCAGTGATAAATACCACCACAACATATAATATAATAATAACAGCATCGATTTAATATTTTAATATCTTTTTTGCAAGACACCGACGTCGGTAACAAAAATTGTTAGAAGTACTTCAAGTGATATGTCTCATCCAGTAAGCTTGATATTTTTCTCAAGTGATGTATGTATAATATATTTTAATGCTTTTTTACCATTTGTTATGTACTAATGTATTTTTTTTATACTTATGGCTTATCTGGATTTAGTCTTTTCGTCAAGTGTAATCGCATAAATCGTAATACGTACATACACACAATATAAAATGTAATATCTATATACTAAGATGCATATATGTTACTTTTGCTACATGATAACAAAACATGTTTTTGCTTATTGAAGAAATTAATCTTTGTCAAAATTATTTATTTATATTCATATGTATACTTGTATTATCCAAATTCCTGTTTAACTTAGCTGTTTATTGACAAACATCTAACTTCATATTGGTTACTTTTTAACAGGATCTATTAGTTGCAGGGACTGATACATCTTTAAGCACGGTGGAATGGGCAATGGCAGAGTTACTGCATAACCCTAAGAAAATGGCAAAAGCCCAAACTGAGCTCAAGGAAGTCATTGGCAAGGATGGAGGACATGTTGAAGAATCAGACATCTCAAAGCTCCCTTACTTACAAGCAATAGTGAAAGAAACCTTTCGGTTGCACCCACCAGGCCCACTTCTAGCTCCGCGCAAAGCTGCAGCTGATGTAGAAATCAATGGCTATATAGTGCCCAAGAATGCACAGATACTGGTGAATGTATGGACTATTGGGAGAGATTCAAGCATATGGGCAAACCCAGATTCATTTGTGCCTGAGAGGTTCTTGGAGATGGAAATTGAACATTCCCTTTGCAGCGGGAAGGAGGATCTGTCCAGGATTGACATTGGGTCATCGGATGGTTCACCTTATCTTGGCCTCTCTGCTACGTTGCTTTGATTGGAAGCTTGAAGATGGGGTGAAACCTGAAGATATGGACATGACTGAGAAGTTTGGGCTTGCATTACACAAAGTCGTGCCTTTGAAGGCTTATCCGATTAAAGTGTGATGACTAATAGGTCGGACATAATATATAATGAGTTTGAGTTTGGGAATTAAACTCTTGAAGATATGGTAAGACTATCTATCATTTATCATTTCCATGGAGCTACTTGTGCATTCGGTATGAATTTTTTACATATTTCAGTTTCTCTCAAACTAGATCAGTCACATAAACAAGAACATATAAAGAGAAGCTCAAGTAATTGTCATTAAATATGTTTACATGTTATGAATGACGAAAGGTAGTTGCTAAGTATTCTCCTATGAGTACCTAAGAAAAACACCAATCCAAATTACACACAGCATGTTCCAACAAAATCATATGATGATAATTTCCCACATGCATTTCTTATTATTCCAGATACATATGAATTCCTCTTATTGTGATACCATTAGCCATTAATTTTCTCAAACAACATAATACATGTGTTTTTGTGTAAATGTGGGTGTGGGTGTAGCATGGCTTTGGACCTGGTCTTGGTCAATTCAAATCGAAATCTAAACATAAAATATGGTTCCAAATACGAATAAAAAAACCAACCAATATCAAAATCTTGGCCCATATTCGAATTAGTTAATAATCAGACATCTGATGCAATAATTCGATCCAATCCGATTACAAGTGAACGCTACAAACAAAACGACAATTGAATATTAAGTGAATTCCAACCTAAATTACAGCTAAATTTTAACCTAATTTGACTAATTAATCACTCAATTTCTACAATATCTGTTCGATTTCATCCCAATTTTATCAATAATCCCACTAATTCGGTAAAAAAAACTGGCAAAAAGATAACGAATCAGATCATACCTGAGGAGCCTCAAATTGAATCCTGAGTTCTTCAACCCATTCGAAACCCTTAGTTTTTCTAGGTTGAATTGAAACACCACATATTAGAGCTTTGATTGCCGATGAATTCCGGCACCCTTGTCGATTTATTTTCACCGATAAGAGAGAAGCAACCCATTAATTGAAATGCAAACTGTTTGTTTATCGAGTATTAATGCTCGGGGGAAGAATAGAAAATAAGGATATATTTTCGTATCGTATTAGCGTTAATTCACATAAACTTTGAATAAAAAATTTAATATTAATATTTTATTTTTGTGTTTTTAAATTATGTTATTTTTAAATATATTTTTAAAATTTTTAATTATCATTTTATTTTTATATAAAATCAATGTATATATAATATATGCATATATTAAAAGATATATAGATAAATAAGATACATCTCAACACAAATAATTAATTTTTTGTTTATTTTTCTTCTGATTTTTTGAGGGATTGATTTTGTTGAGTTGAAAGGAAAATTAATTCATATATTTTTTTATCCTTCCTATTTTCTTTTCTTACCAAATATAATATTTTATTTATTCCTTTAATTTTCTATCTTGCCTTTCTTTCATCATTCCAAAACGAAGCATAAGAGAAATGAATAAGGGATAGAAGAGAGACGGAAATAGCCTGATATAGAAAGACTCAGAGCCAAGGCGTGCGTTACCATCCTTTGTCTCCGTTTAGTGTTTTATTTTTAGTAGCGACTCTCGAATCCATTATTAAGGTCTAATAGCAAAGACGTCAACATTAGGTCAATGGTAAACATAATTTTTTTTGGGTAAATTGTAGTTTGCACTCTGAAATATAGTTTGGATTTTAATTTATATCCTCAAAAATAAAAAAAATTTAATTTGTACCATCAAAAATAAAAAACAAAATCTACATCAATACACACTTGAAACTAACGGTCATCAGTTTGCCGTCTAAAACTAAATAGATAAATTATACCTAAATCTTCTTACACTTGTCACTTAATTATCTAAACCTCTCACATTTAAAATATTACACTTACATCCCTCAAAATCCAAATATAACTAAAAATGTTCTCTCAATTAGATATCCAAATAATTCCGTTCAAATGATGTATTGTATTGAATATAAAAAAATATTATATAAATATCTGCATTATATTGGGTATTCAAATGATAAACTTGATTTTGAACTTTAGAATATAATAGACCCACAAAATAAAAGATAAGATAAAAATTATAATTTTTTATTAAGATAAAATTATATTTTTTAACGATTATATTAACAGATGTCAACGACAAGGAGTAATGCGTTACACATGCACAAACATCAGGAGGTGTAGGGATAATATTCTAAATATAAGGGGATCCAAATGATTAAGTGATAAACTTGAGGAGATCAAAGTATAACTTATTCAACTAGTTTTAGAACACAAACTAACAACACATTGATATAAATGTATATCTTTGTGGGTACAAATTGAGATTCAATAGATCTTTCAACATGCAATTTGCGATTAACTTTTTTTTTGGTTCAATGATTAGGGTTTCTGAACTAGTTTATACACATTTTGATTAATCTTTTTTCTCAATCAAATCAAATATATAGGTTATTTACGTCGGCACTAATACTCCATTTGGTATGATGGAAAAATAGAAAAAATAGAAAGTTGGAAGGATAAAAAGTTGAAGGGATAAATAAAACATTATGTTTGGTAAGGAAAAAAAATAGGAAGGATAGAAAAGTAAATGAATTAACTTTCTTTCTAATTTACCAAAATCAATCATTCCAAAATTTGAAGAAAAGTGGATGAAAAATTAATTATTTTTGTTGAGATATATCTTATTTATCTATATATTATATATGCATTAATTTCATATAAAAATAGAATGATAAAATATGTATATATATATATATTAAAAAATTAAAAAATAAAAATTTTAAATTAAAAAAATATTTTTTTCATATTAACTAAGGGTAAAAATTTTCGACTTAACACAATGACACTACTCAAACTCGACACCAATCTGACACGACACGAGTCGATTGTCATCCCTAATATTAAAAAATAATTGATCATTTTTATTTTTCATTCATCCAACCAAACACAAAAGAAAAAAAAATATATTACTCCTATATTCATCATTCCTACCAAACAGAGTATTAAGGTAAAGTATTTATAATAAATAAATCCTACATAGTCTAATCCTAGAGAGTTATTACCACTTGAACTATCCCGAAGTTGTTAACCACTAACATAGCCTGTTCAGTATTAGAGTGTTTGGGTTCGTGTTAAAATTTAAACAATTCTCAATTAAATTATTTAATTAATCATATTAAATACCTTCTTACTGATTCAAATTTTTGTGAGCAGTAATATTAGTGAAATATAATTTGGGGCTTAAT